ACCCAATTTGCTTGAAGCCATGTCGAGCAACTACTCTGTCCGGTCTGTGAACAAAAGTCACTCCAGTTCCGGTCTACGTTCCAAATATCTGCTGGTCCAAACTGATGCCTCTGTAGCACTGCTTCTATGTTGTCAAAGAAGGCGTTGACATTCACACAGTTGAAACTACTTGTCCTGGCAAGGCTTTCCCAGTGCCAGCATTAGATGCCTCTTCAAAAAGGTTGTGAAGCACTCAGCAGTGGCTTGTTCCCTTTCTGCCCAGTTTGGTAGAAGTTTTAATTGGCACCTCACAAAATGATAGGTCAGTTTCATGACTTCCCTTGGAGACAACTCAAAGTAGATGTCTTGATTTACAGCCATCTTCCACCAGATGCGTGTCTGGTCGGCCTACGCTCTGCTCTCTTTTGCCGGATGCCGGAGCCCGACGCATTAATTTAGCACAGAAAAGAACAAGTGGGACGAAACAACATTAAAACATACAAATACAGCATTTTTTTTGCCAATTAAAGATTACTTTTATGAAAAAAGTAACTAGATGACGGATAACTTGAATACCAGAACTGAAGCATTATGTTACTCATAACAACAAAAATGTAATCTGAGTACTCTCATAGATTACTTAGTAAAGCGTTACCCCAAACTAAGACTTACTTATTATGTCTGTTTAACAGATGTGTATTTTCACAAGCTGTATCCTATAAAAGGTCAAAAGGCAAACATATGTTGTAATTTGGAAAATAGAATCCAAAAGGAGGGTTATAATAAACACATGACAAGTTTTGATTAAATTAAATGGAAAACAGCATTTTTAATTAAGACAGAACAGCCTGCTGAATGAAGATAACTAAGGTCTCCTGTCTCTATGCATGGTCTGCTCACACTTCACTCATGTATGAGACCTGTTACTGGTGCAGAACTTTCATGAATGCAAAACGACAGTATCTGAGGAGGAGAAGGAATCTCAAACATGTGACTTTGTGAGTAAGTTGGCATGACGTAACTGCAAAGTCTAATTGCCACAGTAACGAAAAGGTTTTGGTTATGACCCTTTAGATTAGACCCCTCATGTGATTACTGCTAGGGAAGAGTGAAAGATTTGCAAAATCCTATAGGGCTTTCACACTTACAGAAAACTCCTTATATGTGCCAGAGGAGCTGCATGTGTGAACGCAAACAGCCACATTTTTCACATGGACTTCACCTGGAGTTTCTCCTGACAGACCCCTCGCATTTTTTCCACAGCAAGTCATAGCTGATGTGAGAACGCAGCAGGATATTCTCTGGAGAATTCAGCTCGAGCCAATTGAAAGGGGGAGTGACGTTTATATCCTGTGACTGCTGCACGGTGCATAGTGTATGCACATGACTGCTACGATCGCCGACGTCATTAAATGGCTGCATTATGTTTTCTGTTATCCAGTATGTCGTTCTCTGCTCCTTAGTTCATATTGTGATTTGGTTTATTTACATGTAGCATTGATATAAAGGCAGATATTCTCATTATAGCAACGTATAGCAGACTTTATTGCTTCGTCCGCTTCTTCCGCGCTGAGACCCCCTGACCCCCTGTCCTGTCTGACAAGAATAGTCCCCTGCTGTGAGGTGCATATGTGAACAGCCGGGTCAGGAGAATATCCGGAGCAGTCCTGAAATGATCTAGATATTTTCAGGAGTCTAAAACGGCTCTACAAAGTCGTTCATTCTATAAACAATTCACTCTTTTTCAGGCTGAGCAGAAGAAGAGGAAAAGAGAAGAATGCAGCTGTAACAACCTGTCCCAGGATGCATCAGGAGATGCTCAGGGCCAACAAGTACAAATCCCAGAGGACTGTTCTCACCAGGAGGTAGACGTCGCTAAACATTTCACAGCTGCTCTGTCTGTCTGTGCAGGATCACATCGACTTGATCCACTTTTTAAATCTTTCTTTCCTTAATTTGACAAACACTTGCAGACAGGAAATAAAAAAAATGTCCTAAACATATTATGAGAAAACAAAGGAGCTTCATATTTTGCTTTTTCTTGCTTTCAGTAGATGCAGATTGAGGATTTTGTATTTTCAGCTTGCAGCTGATGTTCTCCTCAATGGAATTTATACTGACTGCAATAAACTTGAATTCTTGGATCAGCAGCGTTACGAAGACACAGAGACGATTGTAAAGGTCAGACTCATGGCATCCTCAGAATTTCTGTAACTTAACTTAAGTGAAAGAAGAAGTAATGGCAAAAACAGCTTTTGAGCAAATTATAGTAGGCAGAGGCAGAGCTGAAATGCAAATAAGAAGCCGATGTAAGAAACCATTCAAAGAAAAGTTTTCAGCTGCTGGCACTGTTATTTTATTCAGACCGTCTTAATATTAACCACGATCTGTTGCTTATAGTTTACAAAACACCAATATAGTATTATTGAGACGTTGGCTTTTTTAGCTAGCAAGTTACATTTTTCAAATTATCGGAAACAAGAGTGACTATTTTCTGTTATTTAAGGCCTGTGTTACCATTAGAGGTGGTAACACATGTATACTATGATGTGAATTAAACATACCCAGGCTATCTTTTGGTTTTCTGGCTTCACTCACATGAACAAAAAGGAGATTGCGCTAAGTGTTTGCACAAAGCTGGTTATCAACATAAAATGTCAAACCAGAGTTTTAAAGAGCTTGTTCAAGTTAAGGGGGGGCGATGTAAGCAGCATGAGACCAATCACAAACATGAACAAGTAGAGACATAGAGCGAACAATGATATTAGAATATATGACGACGTTAAACGCTTAATCCAGATTAGAAACAGCATGACTGTAGCGAAAAAAAGCTCTGACTATAATAACTCCCCTTGCTCCGATGTTCTTATGGCGTGTTTGACAGTTTGAGATATCTCAGCAACAGTCCCGATGTGATCAAACAGAGTTGTATGTGGCTGGTTAAAATAAATATGAAATCATAATTCTGAGCAGTCAGTACAGGGTTTCAGTTCTTTTGATCAGTTTGTGTTGTGAAATGATGTCATTAAAGCACAACTGATATCTTCTTGTTTTTAAAGGTTTGTTGTTTTTGAATTAATTTAGAGATAGGACAGTGACTAGAGTCAGAAATCAGGGAGAGAAAGAGTTGGGATTGAAATGCAGGAAAGGAGTTCAAACCTCGGACGCCCGCTTGGTGGACAATTAAATTGCTTATCTAAAAATTGTAAGAGAAAGATAGTGTTTTCTGAACTCTGTTATTAAGAATCTGATTGGTAAATTGGGAGTTTTTTCTACAAACTGACCTATTATCCTGAACAAAACCTGCTCCAGAGCATGTTAGGTTTTCAGCATAAGTAACCATGGCGATAATAAGTGATCCATGCACCTTCATTGTACTAAAAACCCAGCGCTAACCTTGAAGTTACGATGCCTTGCTAACTGCAAATCCTGCTTCCTAATATACAGGTTGGTGTCGGACGAGGTAATTAAGTGCATAATGCAGAAACAGCATTTGTTCACATTTCCCACAGCACAGATTCACAGAGTAATACGTTTGAAAGTCAAAGCAGGACGAGATTTCAATCGGAAAACACTAGCTCTGCGTGTTCAGAGAAATATCAGTAACGGGAAAAGTTAACACGGGACTCAGAGATTGACTCCATCCCAAAGGTTTTCAGAAGTTTGTTGTAAAGGTTTCGGCTTCCTAAATAGCACATAGGAGCAATAATGGTATTTTCGCTTTAAGCTTAAGTGAAACAACAACAAAAATCCAGAAGTAAAAAAAAAAAAAAATTGAACAAGAATACAATATAAAATCAATATATTATGTCAAATCCATAAATCGACTGTATGTTACGGCAGCCTCCCTATTTTGAGAGGGAAATTCAGAATCCTTTCATATCTCATTCTACTTGTGTGGTGGTGGTGGTGCTGGTGGGACGTGAAGCAGCAGGTGATGGAGAAGAAGAATAGAACTCTTCCCTTTCAAACCCACACAGTTATATTATTCTGTCTGATATTGAGTACTAAGCTAAAGGAGATGCAACACTACAGTGAGGAAGAGATATTTGAATTTATGATTGTACGCCTTATGTTGTGTTCTTGACTCTTTTTTTTTCCCAGGTCAAAGATTTTTTTGAGCATGTCTTGTTTTTATGAAACGACTTCGTCATGACACAATATGATGTACTAATTTTATCCCAGGATATACACACACACACACTGCTTATACTCCAGAGGCTGCGGCTCAGCTGTTGTTCACAGCCTTGATGCCACTGCTCTGTTACATACAGCAGTGTGTTCAGCCTACAGTTGTGCATAATAACTCGTATACAGCAACTCCTCATGTCTGAGTCATTGAGTGATGAAGCACAGTGAGGGCAGCAGCTTGCAGTCAAAGGTGTCCTGTAGGGGGCACTGTTGATTCTTTTGAACGACCTATGGCACAACAGGTTGCGCTTCTGCTCTCCTCTCCTCTCCCTACTGACTGGACCCTAATGATCCGTCCAGGTCATGGGACTGGTAAAATAAAGTCGTCCGTGTGCCATTGTTGACCAATTCATTCTAAATATAAAGTGAAATAATCATGAAAATCTCCCAAATTAGATTGTGCAATTGACTAACAAATCTCTAAATTATTATTATTATTTATTTTTTTATAGATTGTCCTACTGAAAGCCGAGGTCGTCTTTTTTGATTATTGAAGCAAATGTTTCAATAATGCTGCTGAAAACGACATGTAAGCACAACACCTTTGTTAAGGTGCTTACCTGGTGCACGAGTTGTGATAATTGTCTTCCCGATAGAAACATGTCCACCTTCAAAATAATTGAACGCGTTCTGAGGTGAGGATGTGTGTAGGCTACTTTCTTTTCCCACGTTTTGAGACTAAAAGAAAAGATTCCGCAAACCCCATGTGATATGAGTCGGGAATTGAATGGCACAAAAGCTGCTGACGTGACGCCCGCAAACCCTCTAATTTGCCAATCGAGCCCGGAGTGCGCGTCCCGTTCTCCCCTCAGTTTGTGCACATGCTCCCTCCGATCCGGCACGCGGACACGGGATGCAGCGCGAGGACGGCTCAGGATTGCGCTTCATCATCACCACCTCTGAATTTGGGCACGCTTCTTCATACCGCGGAAAGTTTCAGGACTATCCTGTCGGACATTGAATGATATTGGATTTCACTCGCAGCATCCAAGTGATTTGTAGCGCTGTGGATCCACTTACCTGTGGAAAAAAAAAACACACACAAGAGAAAAAGGAGTCTCGCGTGACATAAGATCTCTTTTGAAGGCAGAGATTGTTTGAGGACTTATTTTTGCTTTAATCGGGTGGGGGAATTGTGTTGCCTGGTTTGAAGACACGGGTGATTCTCACTGCACATACTATATTGGAGGAGATCGCGGTGTTGCATCCTGTGCCAGAGGATAAATGGTAAGACGCAAAGAAACAACAAAAAAAAAAAACAACAACACTGCATCATTTTCACACACTTATTTCATGATGTTTTAATTCGCTTTGTGTAGCCTCGATGTGCAGGTTTCAAATGTTTACATCCAGTAAAGAAATAGAATATGCAAAGTAGCTGCATAGATTTATCAAGTATTAAATACCCTTTGCGCTGATGGATGCGCATTATTAAATCTGTTAAATAATTAAGTAAAGTTAAGGTTTAGCCTGTTAACAAGAGGTGCTTTTTGAAAGTTGATTCAATATTTGTTCATTTAAAATGTACCATTAGGAAGTCAAAACTAGGTACGGGATCAGATTTGAGCTATGCACTATTTGGGGATATCCTTTAATGACGAGGGGTTGTCTGTTTCCAGGCGGTGTCACACGGAATAAACCTGTTCTGCTTTAAATGGAGAACCGCTTGGAGAGGATAAATCGAGTGCAAAGTTGTGCGGCTTTCTGCTGAGGGGGGTTCTCAAGAATAAACTAGGCACGGGAGTTCGTCGCGCGCGCAATGGGGCCATTCCAGCGCGCGGGACTCACCGCGCTGCTCCTGTGCACAGGTAAGACAGACCACACAGGAAACTTGTGTTCACTGTGGGAATGATAGTCAGTCACATGAAAAGCGGCATCACCTCACTGCAACGCATATACATCAACTTTTATATAGTGATGTTATTCAGTGTGGGGCATTATGCTAATTATTTCATCTGAGCCGAGGGGACATAGCCTGTATGATTTATGAAACATATAATTAGCTGTAACTCGCTCTGGCAGAATACAAAATGACTTGTTATATTAACATGAATGAACGGACAATTGCCTAGAGTGTGTGCGGGTGTGGGGGTTGTAGCAGCACTGAAATATGAAGAAGTGTGTGTGTGTGTGAGAGAGAGAGAGAGAGAGAGAGAGAGAGAGAGAAATACCACTGCAGCGCCCCAGGAGTAACAGCAGACTGCAGAGGGTTAAGTTTTGCATTTTTTTTGCACTCATTTTGAATAGTTTTGTACTTGGCAATTCTTGCATGTTGGAGGAATGTGTGTGTCTGTGTGTGTTTTTAGTGTGTGCACCTGTGTGTGTTTTTGATGATGGATGCTCACTGGTTTCTCTCTTGTTTTTGAGTCTTTTGTTCGTCTGCTAACCAGAAGTATATTTAATTAAAAACCCTTTCATAATTCAATTTGCATAGCCTATATTACAAATTACAGAGCAATAAATGATAATGTGTTTATGAATCTATATTTTTCTAGATCACAGTAAGATAAACTATATTCATTATAACAATTACAAGTATTTTATGTCAGATTCTTTTCAACTGATTAATACGTTGTTTTTTGTCGAATGAATGAAAAAAGTGAAAAAAAAAACTTTCAGGTCTCTATTTTCTTCAAAGTTATCCTATACAGTACACTATTATATTGTATCACTTGTTCTAAAAAGTATTAGAAGGGCTGCTATAAAGGGCACTGTTCTAAACTAGAGTGGGAGGATTCCCGCTTGGAGTAATCCTGCTCTTTTTTTTTTTTTTATGTGTGTGGGCCCGACCAGAGTGCATTGGGATGGAAAGTTGAAAAGTTTCAAAACCAGACACATTAAGCCTTAATTTTTTTAATCGGTCTCTTGGTCTTTTTCCTCTTTCTCTCACACACACAGAACCTGAACCAAAGTGCCAATAGCCACAGGCACATTTGTATCAGTGATAAGTATTAAGTGAGGGAAAGGATGAACTCTACTTTCTGCACCTCTACTAAAAGTTAACCCTGTGCCTTTGGTAGTTTGTGAGGTCTGATATGACCTGTTCCTGGAAAATTTAGCTTGGTATTTTGATGTTATAAGACGGTATCAGCGGGAAATGATAGTAGGCTGTTTAGGCATTTGTCATGAACAATCATGATGTCTGCTGCTGATGTAGAACCTTCTGAATCTGCTTTCGCTCTGCACTTGACTGGGCAACTCAGACACTGATTTATGCAGGGGTGGCATGAAGTGTGTGTGTACAGATGAATGAATAGCATGTCCTTAGGTCAATAGCTGACCTTTTCTACAGTGTTTCTCCAATGATCATAACTACTTAAACTTCCAGCATTACAGTAAAATATCTCTGGCCACCCAGGCCTGGGTAGTGAAAAATGGCTGATTTTGATCCCACAATGGGATCCAAATATTCAAATTTCAAATACACATGTTCTCCCAGTAATTAAGAGCGGGACAGTTGTACAAGTGGGTGGGCCAAGGCCCATAAGGCCCAACCAGTGTCACAGCTTGTTTATGTTTGGTGGATGGCAGTGGTTGTACTATTTTTGGTCTCTTCCCTAACAAGAATCCCATGTTACAAAAAACTAACTAACACTAGAAAAAATAAACTAACAAACTAGCTTCAGAACTTATAATTAACACTGAAATGTTATTAAAAACAAAGTGAAAATAAAAACTAATAAAATAACTAAAAAAAAAACCTATTCTTCTCTGTTGCATTGCTGCTCTGGTGGTTGTTTGCTTATCCAATGGTGTCTGGGCACGTTTTTGTCTGCCTGTGTTGAAAATGCCCAATGAAAGTCAAAAAACCCCAAAGAGGAATCAGATACAAAACCAGAAACCAGTACTGTAGGTGAGGTAGCTAATAACTTCTCTGTCCACAATTCTTCAAAAGTTTTAAGTCCTCCTCATGACAAAACAAAAAGACTGATAATGTCCCCTTAGGGTGGCTGGCAAGATGTTAGATGGGTGAGACAACACAGGTTTTACATCAGCAGAGTTTTGAGTTGTGCAAAACCAAAAGCCAATCATATGTTAATGTGACAAAGCAACCTGGCATTGGATCATATTTAGTTAACATTTTGATTTACTGGTAAATGTTCCAATCTGAGTCTGGCCCTGGCTCCAATAAACCATCTGATTATTCTTCCTAATGAGCATTCCACTTAAATATCTGCTTCTTTTTAATTAATAATTTAACAGAGATATAATGCTTTCCAATGGTTGCACTAACCCGTAAGTCCTTTCAACATTTTTATCACTTGAGAATCATGATTAAAAAAGACACATTGGAGTAAAAGAAATACTTCAGACTGGTGACAGGTCAGATCTGTTTTTCAGAAGAATAGGTTAAAAAGGCTTTTCTATTACCTGTGCAGGCAGCAAAAGGTTACATTATGGGGTTCATAACATAGAGACACACATTTTTAAGTGAAAGGTCATGTGAAGAACCGAGTTGTTAATTCTGAAGGACATTTGTTGAACGCTTGAAATACTATGTATTTTGGTATGGTCAAAGCAAATCATCACTTTTTTTGTGGGACATGCTGTTAAAGCAACAAAGACAATATTTAGACATTTTTCCAATTACTTTCGTACTCACAGCCATTACACAAACACGGTATAGTCATATTTATGTATAGTCTTGCATTTGTAAGATTTACCAGCTTGTTGCTGACTATTTTGTGCTACTTGGTGATATGATGCCTTGTTGGCATCTTAAGTTGAACTCTGGCCAACATTGTTGTTTAAATATTGAAGTGTATACATGCCGTGTTATACTTCAAGTAACTATCAATGTTTACAATATTGGAACAGGGCCACAATCATGCTTCATTACCATAAATAGTAAAGAAAAAATCTGTTAATATATGCAGATGTAATTTGTAGGTGACAACGTTGGTATGAAAATATTGCCTCCCTTATTATGTGAAGAGCTTTAGCCTTGCAGCTGTGGATGTACAGTATTGCAGCTGGTGAGGGAGAGAAACGTAGCGTTTTAAAAAAAAAGATTCAAGTGTTTATTTAATCGTCCTTAAATGTATTGACTATAAGTGAAATATTGACCAGGGAATGTATTCATTCCTAACAAAGATAGAGAGTATAAGATATGTGGACCTAGATACTGAGGGTGCTGCACTAAATGCCTTTTTGGCAATTAACACTTTTTAGCTAATTCAGGAGATTTGAGGCAATTTTTGCCCCCTGCTGATTCACTCTTTTCACCCAACTGGCACATTTTATGTTTTTAGGAGAATTAAAAATAAGCACCAAATCCAAATATAAGAAGGAACACACCTACTCATACCTCCAAAGCTTCTTAAGTCCAATGTAGGGTTTTCTACCTGTCAGTCTTTTTGATTTTCTGGACACTGTTCAGCTGCTCAGTACGACGGAGGATTAGGGTCACGTTAATTATTATTATTTTTTTTAATTTTGAGAATAATCTCGTAAATTAACGAGATTGAGACCAGCCTGCGCAAAATGATGAAAGTAGAACTCTTAAAGTATTTTCCTCTGCAGACAACTTCCCTAAGTCAGTGTGGTTCTTTCTTCGGAAAAGCCACAGTTTCTTGCAGTATCTTTTCAGGTTCCTGATATTTTATGACAATGTGAAGATGATGATGTGCCAAAGCATGTGTAGTTTCATATTTGTAAGTAAAGCCCCAACACACCTATTTGTGTCTGTTATCTGCACTTGTCTGCCTTGTTAAAGTGTCTCATGTTCAGAGCCAGTTTGTGTCCTGTTCATACATAATTTTACAGATAAACAAGTTCTTGCAAGTTGAAGTAAAACTTCTCTTGAACTAACTGTTTATACCGACGACACAAGGAAGTAGCCTATTTCCTTATTAGTGAAACCTTTAGGACAAGATGCTCCATGTTTGTCATTTGAGAACAGCATGCTGCTGCTCTTCTGATATACACTAAAATAACGACTTTATTCTTTTATTCTTTAAAGACTTTAAGAGTTCTACTTTCATCATTTTCGCCCAGGCTGGTCTCAAACTCGTAAATTTACAACTTTAATCTTGAAATAAAATGTTTTTAACGTGGCCCTAATCCTCCGTCGTAGATCAGGGTGTGTTGCTGAGGAACAGTGTAAAGTTGAAGACTGTGAATTTGTTCGAATGAGAGATGAAGAAAACATTCAGCAGATCTTGACCTCTTCATATGGTGATTGCCAGTACTAAAATAAATGCTGGTGATGCATTTGTGTGCTACTTGATCTTGAGCTCTCCAATATGGCGCTGCATGTGCAGATGTCCAGCTGCTTATGCAGTGTTTTGTCTCAACAGCCGCTAAGTCCAGCAATTTCACACTTGGCAGGTGGATTGCTGAAGACTTAGTATTTAGGAAGTCCATATTCACAAAGCTTCCTAAATACTAAGAGTTGCTCCTAGTGGCAAAATTCTAAGAAAACATGACATTTTGTAAGAATTTACCCAAAAATTTAAGACTAGATCCCGGTAAAGATGAAAGTTTTCACAAAGTGTCTTAGCCTTTAAGAGAGCTCCTACAGTGTAAAACTGTTAGGCTTAAGAGTTTCTCAAGCTGAGGAGAAAACAGAGAAGTGATCTGCAAACACGACATGAAGAATAATCGTATTGACTTATAGTTGGACCAATCAGACAACCAATCATGCCACAGGTGCATCTAATCACTAATTAAGGCTACTGACTTTACAATCAGCATGTGAAGTAGCTGCTGCACAAGTGGGCATGTGATTTTAAACATCTTGTAGGCTAGGGTACTTTTAAAGTACGTCTTCCAATTTATCACACAGATGTTAATTTCATAGTGTTCC